ATCTGATATATTGAGATTAATATCCAGGGTTCTCCAATAAAGTTCTTTAATGTGTACATCATATCTTGTGAAAGAACGTTAATGTTTCTAGAAAAACCCTTAAAGTAGCTCTAGCCAATTATAGATGGAAACGGTTATGCAAACTTTTTAGTTATTTCAATCGCTAATTTTAGTTTCGTAAAGGTTAACAGAAATTATACATTTATATAAAGACTGTTAGCTACTGACTTATATCAGCTTATTCTACCGACGAATCTAACAGGGTCCAACAAGGTTCTTAAGTGATGAGAAGTGGACTGGCTAGTGCTAATTTATTTTTGTTGCTGTTTTTTGTTGTTGTTTTCTTCATAAAAGTACACTGATTGAAAGAACACTTCAGTTTCTTCCGGCCATAATATATATGTTGATGATATTTTCGTATCTTTAATTTATTTAATCGCGTATCCCAGTTAATTCACTATCTCAACAGCAAACTCAAGTAGCACTGGTTCTGAATAGGACCGTTTGTCTCTTTTTTCGAGATGGTGAATTGACTTCTGAACTTTACGTTTTAAGATAAATAACGGTAAGAAAAAAATACTACAACTTTTGATAGGTTTAAAGTCACGAGTATTTATTATTTCTGTCACTATTGTGATATTGATTCACCTGTTCTCTAATAAACAGAAAAATTGTAATTAAGTTTAATGTACATAATTTCGAAATATCTGTTCCATATTTCATGCATATACTATTGAATTGATTATATTGCAAACATTCTATTAATAGTTAACGGCTTAACCTTCAGTGAATACATTCAAACCAGGACAACCACAATAAACACACTTTACAATAGGGGCACTGCACAAGTTAAGTTACTCATCAATAAACAATATCATAATTGGGAAACATTCTGTAACTCAACTGACACCAACGTCAAACCAACCACATTCTGGAGTAAAATAAGATCTGTAAACAAAACAAACAACATAGGAGGAATTATATTTATGTAAATAATATCAATAAAATTTGTATTAATAGTTAACGGCTTAACCTTCAGTGGTATTATATTTATGTAAGTAATATCAATAAAATTTGTATTAATAGTTAACGGCTGAACCTTCAGTGGTATTATATTTATGTAAGTAATATCAATAAAATTTGCATCGTTGATTTAATTATTACGAAAGGTGAGACCAATCATTTCT